CTTTCTTTCTTTCTTCCACTCATTTCAGCCAAATATATGGCTCTCCCTCCTGGCAATCAGGCAGCACTGGCTCGTGTTATGGTTCATCCCTTTTAAGGCCCAGATACATTCTCTCCTTTTACGATGTACTCTGGGGGCCTTTCCTTGGGCCAAAGTGCCTTTTAATAAAGGAGCGAGAGATTATTACAACATCTAGGGAATAGGATCCTTGGTTTCTATTTGTGGTCAAGATAGCTGAATATTAATCTCACTTGGTATGATAAACACCATCAGGGAAAGGTAAACAGCATCCCCCCATCCCAACTATTGCTGGGGCCTGTTGGGGGAAAAAAAACCCAATGAAGTCTTCATTGTCTCATTCCCAGGTGGCTATTGTAGTGACCGACGGTCACCCCCAGGATGGGGTGAAAGATGTATCAGCAAGGGCAAGAGCTCTTGGGATTGAAATCTTTGCCATTGGCGTGGGCCGCGTTGACATGCATACATTGCGACAGATAGCCAGCCAGCCCTCGGACGACCATGTGGATTATGTTGAAAGTTATAGTGTCATTGAGAAGCTGACCAAAAAGTTTCAGGAAGCTTTCTGTGGTAAGTCTGAAACTTTCCTGAAGGAAACACCTATGAGAAGTTGTCCTTTCCCAACTACAAGATGTTCCTGTCTGTGTATTTCATTGTTAAAAATAGGCAGGTGATTAGAAATAACTAGGAAGCGAAGAGAATTCACAGGGGGCATTTTATAAGTCGCTTAGTTTATACTAAGCTTATACTTTATATATATTAGTTTAGGGCTTACCCAGCTCTAATACTGTATTGTGATAAAAAATTGTGGGGGATACTATCCTGAAATACATGCAGTATTCTTGGCAACTGAAGAGAAGCTGCTTGTCCTGATATTCTTTGGTAGTGTCCCATCCAAATACTCACCATATCTGATCCTACTTACGTTTGGAGACTAGATAAAATCAGCCACATTCTATCACCTGCTAAGTCTCAGGAAATATAGGTAAAGGTAAAGGTTCCCCTCGCACATACGTGCTAGTCATTTCTGACTCTAGGGTGCTCATCTCCATTACAAAGCCAAAGAGCCAGCGCTGTCCGAAGGTCATGTGGCTGGCATGACTAAATGCCAACGGTGCATAGAATGCTGTTACCTTCCCACCAAAGAGGTCCCTATTTTTCTACTTGTATTTTTTTTTTAACATGCTTTCAAACTTCTAGGTTGGTAGAAGCTGGGACAAGTAATGGGAGCTCACTCCATTAAGCAGTGCTAGGGATTCGAACCTCCGAACTGTCAACCTTTCTGATCGACAAGCTCAGTGTCTTAGCCACTGAGCCACCTGTGTCCCTGTATATCCTGCACCATAAAGTGCCTTTTGCCTAGGTTCTGGGGCTGATGCATCTTCTTTGTTTAGGATCCTCCAAGCATGCATATGTCTCATGGGCGATTAAGCAAGAGATCAGGGGTGGGATTCTACCAGTTCACACCTATTCGCTAGAACCAGTTGTTAACATTCTAAGCAGTTCAGAGAACCGGTTGTTAAAAAATTTGAATCCCACCCCTGCAAGAGAACCTGGTTAAAAAACTTATGAAGAAAGGAACATTTAGATGGTTTATAAGGTCAGATGTTGATTCCAGGAGATTGGAATTGATAAAGTTTCTAGGTCAGGGGTGTCAAACTGGCAGACTGCGGACTGGATGTGTCACGTGCAAGTTTGACACCCATGTCAAAGAAGAATGATACTGAAGCCAAAATATTTTGATCAAAGAAAAGAATACAAGCACTTTTGTTTCCATGCAGAGATTGCTTCTGTGCTTTGTGCTTGGAGTGGAAAAGAATGAAACTTTGATTTTGGGTTTTACCAATTAGATTGATAGATCTTTATAGAAATGGCTTGTTCATATTATTATGAAAAAGCAAAAAAGGTGTGATTTGATGTCAATGCCTTATTCTACTGCAACAGACAGAGTCGGAAGTCAGTGTTTCTTTTTTCCTTATCCTTGCTCACTTCTCTTCCCCCTCTTCCCCATCCCCGTTTTCCTATTTACTTTTGTATATTGCATCTCATTTTATCTTATAACTCCATAAAAACGTTAAACCGAGAAAGAAGAATGATACTGAAAGTTAAAGTCAAACCTGCTTGTTACTGTGTTTATTGTTTTATCACTTTACAGTTGTGTCAGATTTGTGTGCCACCAGAGACCATGATTGCCAGCAGCTTTGTGTCACCACAGGAGCCTCGTATGCCTGTGCTTGTGAAGTGGGTTTCATTCTTAACAGTGATGGGAAGACCTGCAGTGGTAAATAATTTTTGGTCAAAACTTTGTAAAGGGAACCAAAGTTGATTCAAAGTCATGGAAATGTGTGACCAATTCACAAAGTGTGAAACACCTCATTCAGATAATCAGAGTTGGAAGGGACCTTGTAGGTCATCTAGTCCAATCCCCTGCCCAAGCATTTCTGACAGGTGGGAGTCCAATCTCTTCTTGAAATTCTCAAGTGATGACGCTCCCACAACTTCCGAAGGCAACTTCTGTTCCATTGGTTGATTTTCTCACTGTCAGAAAGTTTCTCCTTATTTCCAGGTTAAATCTCTCCTTGTTCAGCTTCCATCCATTATTTTTGTCTGGCCTTCGGTTACTTTAGAAAATAGCCATGCCCAGTTCCTGTAACCATTCTTTATATACAGTATTTTAGTCTCCAGTCCCCTAATCATCCTGGTTGCTCTTCTCTGTATTCTTTTGAGGGTAAACTGCCATGCTGTAAAACAGCCAAAGAGAACAATGAACATGCTTTCAGACATGAATCTTAGATTCTGAATTTGTCTTGTCTAGTGCAGGGGTCTGTAAACTGGCACCGGTCTGAAGCATGCCAGAAACTAGTCTATGAAAACAAGTGAAGCCCCATCCATTGGTTGCAGGCAGCACATGAAATTATGCCGCTCCAGTCCACAGAAAAATCTGCATGCGTGGAATCGGTCCCTGGTGCCCAGAAGGTTTGGGGCCACTGGTCTAGTGTACAGTTCAGTAGTTTATTATTGTATATTATGGTGTATAATAGAATAACCCATTCTTGAAAATAGGGGGCCAAAGCAGAAATTATAGGGCTTAAACATAACAACTTATTTTACTTCTTGTAGTGAGGACACACCACTGAATTCTTTAAATCCAGTTTTTAAAGAAGCGTTGCTATCTGAATGGAAGAAGTGATTCTTTTTTTCAGTAGTGTCCTTTTTTCCCGTTTTCTGTTTTTCACTTCCCTACAGTATGTAATGGAGGCGCTGCCACAGATCTCATCTTTCTGATAGATGGGTCGAAGAGTGTGAGGCCTGAGAACTTTGAGTTGGTGAAGAGATTCATTAACCAGATTGTGGATTCTCTGGAGGTGTCAGATAAAAACACTCAGGTGGGCCTGGTCCAGTACTCTAGCTCAGTCAAGCAGGAGTTCCCACTGGGGCAATATAAGAACAAGAAGGATATCAAAACAGCAGTGAGAAAGATGACATATATGGAAAAGGGCACCATGACTGGCCAGGCTTTGAAATACCTCGTTGACAATTCCTTCGCCATCTCTAGTGGAGCAAGGCCTGGTGTCTCTAAGGTGGCCATTGTATTTACTGATGGACGCTCCCAAGATTACATCAATGATGCAGCCAAGAAAGCTAAAGAATTAGGTAAGCTTTTGGAAATTAGGGCCACAATTTGATGAGAGCTCAGTTCAGTCAGCTGCTTAATCTCATAAATTGAGAACATTGTACTGCGAGGGGTCCTTGGTGCTCTCTGAGCTTGGTTGTTTGGGACACTGATGAAGTGACCCTAGTTTGGGTAATGAAACATCTGCAAGAAAACAACGAAGCTCAGAGAATACCAAGGACCCCTCATTTCAACCCTGAGCTGCTAATATTCTCCTTTATTGGTAGATTGTATTATATAAATGAGAATTATATTTCCACCATAGTAGCACCCATGGTGGTATGCTACCGGTTCGGCCTGGTTCGACCGAACTGGTAGCAAAAATTGCTACCGGTTCAGCTGAACTGGTAGTAAAGAAAGCTTCCAACGATCAGCTGAGAGGAGGGAAAAAAGCCTCAGCTGAGAGGATAAAGAAGAGGAAAGCGCAAGATCGGTCCTTTCACCCGCCCCTGCGCTTTTCTCTTCTTTGTCCTCTCAGCTAATAGATGCTTCAGGGCTCAGCTGGTGTGTGGAAAGCTGCACGCATGCATTAGGCACATGCTCAATCACCGAACCAGTAGTGGAACAGATAGGATCCCACTGCTGCATAGTACATTCCCTTTTCTCTTCTGGGGTTTATCAATCCACTCTTTTCTGTTGCATCCAACGCATGCAACTATGATTTCATAATGTTTACAAAAGCTAGATGTGAACTTGACAAAGCCAGGAGAAACATAACAAAGTCATTTGCCTGATGCAATACCTGAAAATCATTGTCAGAAGATAAGGTGATGGCCCCTAGAGAAGTAACAGTCCAGACGAAAAGCTTTTATTTATAATCCTTCCATGTTTCCCAGGCTTTTTTTTAAAAAAAAATATTTACATACAGACCCGCACAATGCTTTTTGATCAATAGTGCTTTTATTCTGCTTTCATGAACAGGGCGAGACGCAAATGATTAGATCTGGTTTGTTTCAGGGTACAAGATGTTTGCTGTTGGAGTGGGCAATGCCATTGAAGATGAACTCAAGGCAATTGCCTCTGAACCAGTGGCAGAGCACTACTTCTATACAGCTGATTTCCGAACCATCAACCAAATTGGAAAGAAGCTGCAGACTAAAATATGTGTTGGTAAGTGAAGTTGTGCATAGGATATTAAGAGTGCAACACTGTGACTTTTTGTTTTGACAAATACCGTGTTTCCCCGAAAATATGAACTACCCTGAAAGTAAGCCCTAGTTTGATTTTTACATGTGTGCCCAATGTAAGCTCTATCCCCAAAATAAGCCCTAGTTAAGACCCTGCCCACTCCGTTGCACCTGGTTGCATGGGGTGGGGTGAGGTGCATAGGTAAAAATCAAATGAGGGTGGGGAGGGGGGGTGTTGAGCTGCTTACCTTCAGACAGTTGCAGCCAGGCCTTGCACATCCTGACTTCAAGAAAGGCCTCTGATGACAAAACATCCCATCCTGCCATCAAGGTGAGTTTCTTAAACATGATGACTGTCAGGTAGACACAAAGCTGGCCCTACTATTATGTAAAATTAAGCACTGATTTCCAGCAAAGGGAAGACAATCTGTTAGAGGATATAGCAACTCATATCATATAGTCCAGGGGTCCCCAACCACCAGTCCGTGGACCAGTACCGGTCTGTGGAACAAGTCCTACTGGGCCGCTGGCTTGCTGGGCGCCGCCATCTTGTTTTGATGAAAAAGTGCTTCCGGTGAGCTTTTCCGGGTAGAAAGCTCACCGGAAGCACTTTTTCATCAAAGCAAGATGGCGGCGCCCAGCTGATGTCGGTACCGGGCCGCGCCATAAAAAAGGTTGGGGATACCGGGCCGTGGCGTAAAAAAGGTTGGGGATCACTGATATAGTCTGTCTATTATTTTTCAAACCTGCTTCCCTCAAGGAAGGCAGAGAACACTGTCATGATCAACATTGAATTAAATTGCTCAACTGGTGAACTTCTCCATGAAAGTGATGTTGGTGGAGAGTCTCCTCCCTTGTTGGGTCTCACATTTCAAAGTGCTTCAGTCTGACCCTGAACAGATGGTAGAAAGAATCAATCCCTTCAAGAGTTATTTGTAAGCTATTATTTGAAATGCTCAATTAACCTTCTTGAGGATGGTCCAGCCATCAGTTGAATGCTCAAAGAGCTCAACTCATTTTCACAGCAAGGATTAGTCTGTTCTTGCATCTTGAGTTAAAACATACTCAATGCTTACGATGTTCAGTCTCTTTCTGTGAAATGATGTTTTGGGGGGGGGGGGTTTGGTCTAAGTAGGGGCTAGAACATGACAAACACATTTCCAAAAGTGAGGGCTGCAGCCCATTGGCTTTCACAACCCATTGCAGATCCACCCGTAAAAATACCAGATGAATCAATGTGCCAAAGGAAGGGGTTGGGAACTTTTAACAAAATATCAGAACGACAGAGTTGGAAGAGACTTCAGAGATAATCTAGTTCAACCCTTGCTCAAGTGGAAGACCCTATACCATTTCAGACAAATGGCTGTCCAGCCTCTTCTTAAAAGTTTCCAGTGATGGAGCACCTACAACTTCTAGAGACAAGTTGTTCTGCTCATTAATTGTCCTAACTATCAGGAAATCTCTCCTTAGTTCTAGATTGGATTTCTTCTTGATTAGTTTCCATCCATAGCTTCTTGTTCTTCTTCCAGATGTTTTGGAGAATAGGCTGACCCCCCTCTTTTTTGTGGCAGCCCCTCAAATATTGCTATCACTGCTATCAAGTCACCTGTAGTCTAGTAGTGGGATTCAAAAAATTTTACTACCAGTTTTGTGGGTGTGCCTTGGTGGGCGTGACATGCCTTGGTGGGTATGCTTTAGTGGGCATGGCAGTGGAAAGATACTGCAAAATCTCCATTCCTCCCCATCCCACTAACCTGCTTTCCAGCTCCGTTCTTCTGTGCAGGGCAACAAAAGAAGACCCACCTGATCAGCTGGGATGTGGGAGGCAGAGAATAGATGGGGCGGGGCCAGTCAGAAGTGATATTTGCTGGTTGTCCGAACTACTCAAAATTTCTGCTCCCAGGTCACGAGAACCGGTCCAAACCTGCTGAATACCTCTGCTGTAGTCCTTCTTTTCATTAAACTAGACATACTTTTCATTGTTTTAAAAAGGGGTTGGGGTAGAAGTTAGTATGATAAATCTCTGGAAGTCAAATTGTTTCTCTTTCCATTCTTAAACACACACACACAGACACATCAACATTTCTTCCCAAATGATCCAAAATTGTTCTTCTGAAATTTAGTTTTCAAATGACAGAATTTCAGCAGTACAATTTTCTCTTTGAAAGAAAATTGGTTTGAATAGGCCTCTTGGTTGTATTGAACTTTTACTTTTGAGGAAATAAAACACGCAAAGTGCGGCTGAGAATTAGTTATTGCTGAATTTTAATGATGCAACGTTGCAATCTCAAGGCCAAAAATAGAGTGCTCTCAAATGGTTTGTAGTCTGCAATCACAGGTTGCCTGTCTGTGGACTAGACAAAATACTTTTCATAAACTTTCATCATTTCATAATACACAAGACCTATTTCCGATATTTTACTTACTGAACCGTTTTGTCTTGTCTCTTCAGAGGAAAATCCATGTGAATGCGAAGCTATGGTCAAATTCCAGAGAAAGGTAGACAATCTCATAAAGGCATTGACCCGAAAACATATCCTTTTGGGGGCACTTGGAATAGAGTGCATTAGGGCTTCTTTGGGGCTTGAGGTGATTATGAAAAGCACAAACCTGATTTATACCAGGTGATGTACCTGTCCACTGCGCTTGAGATTTGAAGAGGAGGATATTTATGGTTCTTCCTAAGCAATGAAAAATGAGTGATTGCTGTATGTGTTGTTTAGGATTATTTATGTAGCTACTGATCTTATTTCAAAACCAACTCTCTACCCACAGTGCATACAATATTCCTCATATCTCCTGCTGTGATGTAGCGATAGATGATAGCTAGCTAGCTAGATAGATAGATACTGTATACCTAAAAGTAGATATAGATAGATGATAAATGGAGATATGAATGGATGGATGGACAGATAAGTAGATAGAGATAGATAGAGATAGATAGATAAATAATAGATAGTAGATAGATAGAGATAGATAAATAGAGGCAGACAGACAGATAGATGATAGATAGAGATATGGATGGATAGGTAAGTAGATAGATAGATAGATAGATAGATAGATAGATAGATAGATAGATAGATAGATAGATAGATAGATACAGATAGACAGACAGACATAAAGATGATAGATAGAGATATGGAAGGTTAGGTAGATCTCTCTTTCCCCCTCCCTCCCTCTCTCACCCTCTCCCTCCCTCTCCCTCCCTCCCTCTCTCTCTCTCTGGATAGTTAGGTAGATAGAGGTAGATATACTAGTGTGGCGTGGTGTGGTGAAAAATGATCCTGGAGAAAGGGGAGGTCAGAAAGACAGAAAGATGCTGTACTCACTCCTTTCCATTTTTTGCTTAAGTGACTTTTACTCTTGGCAGCCATTAGAACCTTTCTATTTTGCTTAGAATGTTGTTTTGCAACCTGAATGACTTTTTAAGATGTGTGGACGTCAACTCCCTTGCTGGCTGATGAATTCTGGGAGTCGAAGCCCGCACATCTTAAAATTGCTGAGATTGATTCATATCTGTATCCAACAACTTTGTTTTTAACTTATTTTTGTTCCTTCTTCAGTATTTCAATTATTCAGTCCATCTCACTGAATTGAAACCACTGAAAATATGTTCATCTTCTTTCTATGTATGTTATTCCTTAAGTCTTGCTCACTGGAAGCTGTATCAAAAAAGCTTGCGATTCTAGAAAACAAGATCACTGTTTAAAAAGTTGGATATTGTGGCTTCTTACCAACTTAAAATGAATGTACCAGAAGACTCTTGCAGATGGATATGTCTTTCTGATGGTACCCAAAGTTCAACTATTGGAAGTGTCTTGGGGAAATGAAAAAGTCAAATCTTTAGCATTTAAACCATAGGAAAAGCTTACATTCTTGTTTATTGAATGTAACTAAACTTTCTTTACCTCACAGAATATGCATGCATTAATTACCTGGAGAATTGTTTTAACCAAACTTTAATATATACATTTATTACATTTTAATGCATTGTTTTGCAGGTTCGGTGGATCCTAATTGAGATGTATTTTTGGCTTGGTGGGAATCCATTGTGTACTTTTTTTTTTTTTTTTAAAGAACATAATTTGATGTATGTGATGTTGAATATTACGGGTTTTTTTAAAATGGTAAATATCTATGAATTACATACAAATACATGAAAGAATGATATACTTGCTTGAATATGTTAGAATATGATGCATCTGCTACACACCTGAAAAAAGGTGAGTTTTGATATCTAATAATGATAATAATAAGAATAATAATAAAGACTGAATTTTCTGCTCCTAGCAGCATGACCCCTAGTATTAAAAGGTCACATCTGAGTATTCTTTTTTTTTTTTTTTTGTAAATTTTATTTGAGTTTTCACAAAAAAAAAATACAAATAAAACATCTTTTTTGAAAGTAGCATAATCCCGGGTTACATTTCTTCGTACAGACACAAATTCAATTTCATGCTCATTTTTATGTTCTATTCCATATCTTATTACTGTTTTACATTTTCTACATAGCTTCTTCCCTCTTTTAATTTTCTCAATTTTATTTTAATTATCTCGTCTCAATTCAAATCATTATATTTATACTTTTTGTCTGTCCTGTTTCAATTTCATATTATCTTTTCTCATTAAACAAAGTTTCTCCTGTAGTTGCTGATTGGAGTATGACACCTTTATATCTTTTAATTTTATCCATTTAACTCTTATTTAAGCTTCAATATATACTTTAGAGTTATAACGTTCAATATAATACATAACTTCCATTCGGATTCTGCTTGGTACATTCTTAAAATACACACTATATTCTTAAAAAAAAAGATTATAAATATATGTAATTAAAACAACACATTCCATTCCAATTCAATTCTATCATTAATGTTAATATTCATTAAAATCTTAACTTCTTTAACATTACTTTTCAATTAAATATCATACTTCTATGGGAACAGTTATAAGCTTTCCATAATTAATTCCCCCCCCTTCACTTATATTTTATAAAACATTAACTAATTAAAATGTTCCCGTCCCTTCCTAATTCAATTTTCTCATTTAATTTTATTAACAAACATTTCACTAGATTACAGTAACTATTTTATCCCTCATTTTAATCATACATTGTTTCCAATTTTCTAAAATTATTTCTATTACTAATATAACAATACAATTCTTATGTACCTTTACAGAATCCCTTTTTCAGTTAAATTTTCACCCATTATCTCTAAATAGGCCCTGTTTCTCTATATCTTGTTTCTGTCCTTTGTAACTTCTTTTCCTTTCCTTCTTCCCTCTCTTCTTCTCTCTCCCCTTTTTACCCCCTTGTCTCTCTACCTCTATGACTCTCTTCTGAATTCCCCTCTTCTATTGCTTTCCAATATTATATTTATTTTTTGAACTATTTTTCTATTCTTTGCTTGTTTTTTTAAGTCTTAAATTCTCCATTCTCTTTCTCCTCTTTCCTTTTTCTTCCCCACATAGAATTACTTGTTCATTAAAGATGGCTTCTTCTTTGTCCCAGTCTTCTTGTTTTGCAGACGTTTCTTGTTGTTTCTCATAGTTCCAAATCTCCATTTCTAAGAATTGAAAAACGAAGCCAAAAGAACCCCTGCCTTCTTGTGCATCTTCTTTTTACTTTTTAAGTTCCATTTTCAATTCATCCAGAAGTAGTGCCATTGTATAAATTTTTAAACAACCACCTGATTAATTTTAGTCATTCAAATGCAATAACCAAAAATCCAAAGATCACCAAGTAATCCAAATACACGCAAGCTGTTTCTTTTTACTTTTTTTTTCATTTTCTCTTCCTGGGGTTCTGTTATTTAGTTGCCAAGTTTCAGTTAAAATGTATCTTTTAGAAGTCTTGTTGAAGTTTTACTGTAGATTCCTTTTAATTCCAGGCACTCTCCTCCCTTTTTTCCAGATTCTGCCCTTTTATTCTTTTTCTCTCCTTTCCTGCTTATAAAATTTTTTTAGTGTCCAGAAATCTTTATTATCCCTTTGACATTTTGTTTTATTTTCAGCTTAATTGCCTGTTGATGTCAAAGTGGATTTTTCCCCCCCGATTTCTTATTTAAGTCTCTTAGTTGTCAGTATAGGGAGAGGGAGAGAAGACATACTTCTTTTCTTCTCTTTTTCTTCTTTCTTCTCTCCCTTTCCACATCTGAGTTTTCTATAGTGAATTCATCTATGAATGTAATGACAATGACAGCAATTATGATGCTATCATTAGCTTCTAGATAGATAACTTCTAATGTGCCAAAGTGTTGGAATTCATTGTTGGAACATATTTATATGCAACAACCATAGTAGTATTCAGCCAGTAGATGGCAGTGTTTACAAGTTTATATCTATGGTATATACTCTATGCTCTTTTGTTCCAAGCAGTTTCCTGTTTCCTGTTACAGTAATAGAGTTGAGCAGTAAGGCACATGGTGACTGTTCTCTTTATTTGCTCTATGTGGTACTTTATATAAACAGAATTTCTAACACAAGGATATTCCTAGGGTGTAATTAAAAGTCAAGACAGTAGCCATTATGGTGTGATCGAAGCTCAATCCTTTTTTATGTGTGATACGAATAAAATATGGCATACCTTCAATTACATGGCTTGGCATCATCTTGACTTTTTTTTTTTTTACCAAACCCTGTAGATATTCCTGAATGTTATTACTGCCTATATGCTAGATGAATATGATAACTATTTAGATGGTACAGTATCTATAGGCCAGTGAGCCCACCCAGGGATATGACCATTCCTGTTGGCTTTAGAAGATTAAAAACCAAGTCCCAAGCTATGCTATCTGTCTTTATCGTTTACCACCACTGCACCTTTTTCAGTGTGTGAGCACAAGTGGTTGAACTTGAGTTCATTTTTTTTCTTTCAAAGTGTTTGTATCAAAATATTGATACTTGAGGATACATAAATGGTCTTTGCAGAAATTTCATGCTAAATGAATGTTGTTTTGTCTGAAAAAAAATAAAAATAAAAATCACGGAAGAGTTTTGTGGCTTATGCTGATCGTCTCTCTTTTCTTCATATCTTAATCTTATTTTTCTGATTAAAAAGTTAAAAGTATTCCAAAGTAAAGGAATGTCAAAAAGATAAAAAAGTCAGGCTTGATTGGGTGAAAATCTTCAGGAAGTTGTTGGCTTTTATGCATTCTCAGTTTGTCTTCATGATGGTGCAGTGATCGACAAGCTCAGTGTCTTAGCTACTGAGCCACCACATCCATTTTCTTTTCTCATATATAGTGCAAGACATATTTACAGCCTTTAAGGACCCAAGCACAATCCATAGTGATAATTTTGTGAGCCATATTTAGTGCCAATAGATGGATGCTCCAGCTATTTTGCTACATAACAGCCCAAAATAGCTAGAATATATTAGCAGTCAGAAAGCTACTTTCTGCTTTGTTTTGGGTCAATTGAATAGAAAGAAACATTAATTAACTCTCTTTTCTCTTCTTGTACCAGTTTAAAATATGAAAAGTTGCATTCTTGGCGCCAATGTTAATTAGACATTAGATAGGCAACAATGTTTGGCAATGTAATTAGACTTTCTGAAAAGACTCAAACCAGCTTCTGATGCCAACTGCAAAGAAGTACGGCCTTCATTCCAGACACATTCTTAATCTTTTAATTACACGGTCCACATTAATTACGTAGAAATAAAGGTGACGTAGTAAAAGAAGCAATGTTGAATTTAACCATATGCGGCTGATGGGCAGCCTGTGATTTAGAAATGACTGCATCCTAAAATATACGGATTTAAAATATTTGTAGAATGTGCATCCCTTACCAAATATCAGGCATTTTCTACATTAACAAATGACCCCTCCTTTATGTAAAACTTGAAGTTTGAAACACAACCAATAAGCTGTGTGTTGGTTTCTGAAGAAATAGTGTAAATTGCTTGACTGCATCAGTTTTTATTTCATAAGGTATTTACCAACAAAATGGAAGACAAGTTAAATATCTCTGCATGAGGATGTTTTTGAAACTATCTGGAAGCGACAGCTGATTCAGAATGTGACTTGGCTGCACCAATTACCAGATGGCTACTGCATGCTAACCAAAGTGCTGGTTAACATTTTGTATCTAAATGGAACTAAATGTCTCCAGGATCACCTTCACCTAATTTGTTTTATTCCCATCCAATTAGAGTTGGAAGGAGGCCTACTTCAGGTCTCTTCACTTAGATCCGTGATGGCAAACCTAAGGCACGCTTGCCACAGGTGGGAGCATGCCACAGCATGGGAGCTGCAGGCAAACTTACCTCACTGCGCATGTGTGCACCTCACAGCTGATTTTCGGGTGGCTTGAGGCCTTTTTTGGCCTCCCAAAGGCTTGAGGAAGGCTTCTGCAGACTTCTGCAGGCCTTGCAGGCTGAAAACTAGCCCCATTTGGTCATGTCCTGTTTTTCCGAAAATACTGGAAGTGACAAAACAGGGCTAGTTTTTGGCCTGCAAAGCCTCTAGTAGCCTGCAAAAGCCTTTCTCAAGCCTTTGGGAGGCTGAAAAAAGTGCAGGTAAGGGGGCGGCGGGGGGGGGGGGGTTGCACACGCACGCATAGGGGACATGGGGGGTACGCATTGCCTTCTGGGTGCTGGCATACGAGCGGGAACATGCAAACACACACACAATTTTTGGCACAGGAGCCCCAAAAGGTTAGCCACCACTGACTTAGATATTGCTGTCTTCTCTGCCAAGAATGAGT